TATCTCCTGAAGGGGAGTGTACAAGCGGGTGGAACTTGCACAAGTGTCCTTCATGTACAGTACTGGAGGATTTGGATTTGTGATGCGCAGATCCAAGATATCCTCCAACGACCACTCCTGCGGAATTCTTCGTGGAGTGGTGCAGTTTTGACACGAAGTCTAACTTGCTCTCTTCATAGTACACGTTTTGTGTGGCTTTGCCATAAAAGGAGCACACATGATCGTGCGGCGCCACATGTACAGCTTCGGCGCTAGAGCGAATGACCCTGCCCAACGTGAGGATGCCGACCAGGCCTTCGGCCGTGGTCCCGTGTCCCCAAAGATAATAGCAGTTGGTCTGCTCTTCAGGTCCTGGCATATGTGCCACTGGAAACTCCCAAACATGCAATGCTTCTTGGGGCATGGCATACGCCTTGGCATCATGCTGAAAAATTGCCTTATATGGTATCTTGCTGGCCAAAATGGACCGGGCAAGAGTGACAATCTCCCGTTGGCCAATAGGAATCACAGGCAGAAAAGGTCGGTCTGCCTGGCCAAATCGGGTCAACAAAAATTTCAGCACATCCTCAACATCCTCTTTGAGGATTTTGGAAACTGGCAATGAACGTTGCCGAGTAAAAGTGATGCGATCAGTGAATCTTCGCATATGAGAATGTGGGATAATAGGCCACGTATGCAAGCCTTCAGTTGTGAGAAAATTCTCATGATAATGCAAAACAAAGAACATATACGCCAAGAGAGAACTCATTCCCTCCTCATAGAAATCGACCTTTGGCTCGAGCTGTGATTTGCTCTCGCAGTTGTTCATAGCTGCTGCGATGAGCAGCATGAAATAGCTGTTCCTCATCAACAGAAATCAAACCGGATTGAGCAGGAGGAACTGGGCTCTTTGGAGCCGGATTCTTGGGAGGTGTCTTGGGCGACGTGTTCTTGTGAAACTCCGGTGAGGCAGCTGCCGCGACAGGCTCCTTGTTCTCCAAAATCGGGCCTGTCTCCGGTTTGCTTTGTGCATTGCCGGGAGCTCTAAAAGCTTGAGCAGCCTGATGTAATGCATCAGTAGCTGCTTGAGAATGCGAAGCAGGAGCTCGAACTCTGGGTGTTACTGGCCTTTGGCTCAGATTCCCAGCAGGAACACTAGGTACCCATTGCCCCGGCGGTCGCTGTGGACTGTTGCTGGGCCCTTTGTTTTCATGAGGCCGAGAACGGACAGAAGCCGGCTCAATAGATCTCGGTCTAGGCCGGGGTGGCATGTTTTCTAAGCTGGCCGAACGAAAAGGTGGGCGCATCGGAGGAACAGCACTGACCGACCTTGTTGGTGGCCGAGTAGGAGGCTGAGGGGGAGGCAGAACTGGTCGAACTGGGGCCGCGGGAGGTCCCTCAGGGTGACGTTCATGCCGATGATGTCGACGCCGTCGTCGTCTCGAGCGACTGCGATCATGACGCTCACGGCTGGGGTGAGTAGACTTGGCCGGCTCCCCCGGTGTGAGTTGAATTGGAAGCGGAGCTCGAGGTGGTGGGTGTACCGAAACCGACCGAGCTCTGCTAGCTTCCTGAGGAGTCGAAAGAATTGTAACCGGAGGTTGCGGTCCGCTTGAAGTCTGCACTCCAGGGGGTCCTCCGTAGAAGTGAAAATGGTATTGCTGGGCCATGGCTCTGGGTTGAAATATTCCTCCAACAGGCCGATATCCAGCTGAAAACCAATGCAGCTATGGTACTGAATCAGTAGCTCACGTGCACATTTAGGGACAAAAACATTGCAAAGAGGCAGCGAAACTCTCAATCGACAGACTTATTTGCTGACTTCATTGCAACGCATTCACAGGAAAACCTGCCTGTACATACAGTTGCTTGAGTCTGCGAAGTTGTCCCGGTCTTGACTCGGGGGGCCAGGAGTACTGGCGAATCAAAGATGCTCGAGAAAAGTATCCCGAGGCTGCCAGCTGCCACGATCCAGCGCTGTTGGGCGAGCGGATCTGCCATGGTTGCTCCGGGAGATTAAAAGTTGCTGAGCGAGTCTTGGCGCAAATGGTAAAACCCAACCATTGATGGTCTGACACAGTTTCCAACTGAATCCCATCATAAAAGTTAGGATCGCAGAATCTCCGGAGTTGGGACGACAGTAGAATTTTCTGAGGTCCCAGAATCAGTCTGTTATCGACGTAACGGAGAAACAAGAAAGACGATTGGATGGCCGTCGGCAAAGATTGCAAAAACTGCCGTTCGGCCAGGAGTACAGGAAGTCCGGAGAGGATCGGCGATATTTGATTGCCTATACACGTCCCCTCCACTTGCTGCCTGCACTTTCCAGCAGCTGTAAAAACTCCCGTGGCGAAGGATAGACCACAATCAGCGGAACATCAGAAACCCAACACCTCTTTAAGTTTGATTTCGTTCTCCCCCGAGGTTTGCCCGGGTGTCCCGTTTTTGACAACATATCGATCGAGAGGATCGAACAGCCAGAAGTTTGGCAGTATTCTTGGACAATCAAATGCACTGCGTGCATGATGTCTTTTCGGGGAACTGCATTGAAAAATCCCACGAGATCGTCGTTCCATTCGACGTCTTCCTCTTGGCTGGGCTTCGCCCAATAAGCATGAAGAGACCTCCAGAGCTGTGGCATGCTCTGCATGCCTGGGCTGTCAGCAAACAGCGTCTTGACCATTAAGGTTAACGCAATGGAGGTCAGCTCCAATAGCTTGCTGCACAACGAATTGGAATACGAAATGATGGTCCGTCCCTTGGCAAACTGTTTCTTCCGTTTCAGGAACACAGTGCCTTGAGGCAGCGGAGCTGCTTCTTTGAAGGCCCAGGCGTATCTTCTGGACAGATCTCGAGGAACGCGCTTCAAAATGCGCTGTCTCCATTCTTCAGGGGTACCATCAAGAGTACGAAACACAGAGGGATCGTTCCATGTGGTGCTAACTCCTCGAAGGAAGAAGCGAGGACAATAGCACACGACATGATTCGGATGATGATCTTCGTTGTACAGAACAAAATCCGAGTGCAAGGCAGACTTCACCTTCTGTACCAAAGCCCAGTGTAGTCTGTCTGATTGTTCCAGGGCTGCAACATGTTGCTGCCACTGGTGGTCACAAAAGGATTGAAAAATTGGATGCAACGTCGCTGGTAGCTTGTGTCTCTTGAGCCACTGATCAAACAGAGCTCTGGACTTGGCCATCCAGTGATTGCGGCCTGGGAAAAAGGTGCTCGCGGCACTGGCCGATAAGATGCTCGAACAGCCTGGTAGTAGCTTGGTCAGGTTCTCCAAACCTGTGGCTACGTGGCCAGACACGAAGCAATGAGCAGGAAGTTTTCCTGCAAACTGCTCACACGGACAGTGCACCGACTCCAAATCAAAGTCGTGCTCCCACATCGTTTCTTCCCAAGATCGGAAGTTGTGGAGAAATTTCTTGATACTCTGGTGCGGAACTTCACGTAGGCTGTTCTTTGGAACATGAAAAGATGGAAAAAGATACTTGTACCGGAGGATGAGGTCTTTTAACCACTTCTCGCACTCCTTGGAAAACGAAGGAGACGCAGTTGGCAGGACTCCCAAAGGTCGGGAAGTCCGTGGCCAGTGCATCTTCTTGCGAAACTTGGCTACACCTTTGAGTATTCCTTGCACCCTGTTGCGATGAGGGTTTTCGATATTGCGACTGAGTTTGATGAGGGCATACACTTCCTCGTCAGCCGTCTTGTTGGATCGGAGCAGCTTCGCTGTTTCAAAGGATGCTCGGGTTCTCGATGCCAGCTTAAACAGAAGCCCCCAGGCTAACTCCCGAGAGTCATGAATGAAGAATTTCGAACTGCGACCAAACATGCGCTTTCGCAGTTTGCGCCAAAGTCGGAGGCCAAAGGTGCAATACAATGACCCTCTGCGTTTGGACGAAATTCGGAAACCGAGAGCGGTCTTCTTAATGAGAGACATTGCTCTGGGATAATTCAAAGGTGCCTGCCATTGAGCAATGAGTTCGTGCTCAACAGTCCAAGCTCGCTGGTAGCTGTCACAAAATTCTAGCGGAACAAGCACAAACTGGAAAAGGTTGTGTTGGGATGCCCAATATCTCAGGGACAATTCTGCATCCACAAATTCGGTTCTTTGAAGTCTTCTGTAGACTGCCATGCGGTTCAAATGCCGCTTGGCTGCACCGACAGCAGTGCTTCCCACATACAGAAGTGATGAGGGCTGACGGTAGCCCGAACGAAATCGACCCATGTCGACATCAACTTGAAAAATGCAATATACAGTGTTCGGCTTCTCAAACAGAGAAAAATGCAGAGTATCTGGATCCACTCCGAACTGCTGCAATCTCCGAACAATCTTGAATCTGTGTGAATCATCCTGGCTGGGTGCATTGAGGTAAAACAACAACACCAACGACATCAATGTATGCACCCAAATCAGCGGAGTCTTGGGTATTCCATCGCCAAACTCCAACATGAAAGCTGCTGCTGTACCAAGCGTGCACACTGCTGAAGCAAGCCTCTTACGGACCTGAATCGGCTGATGTTGCACCGTTTTTGCTTGGGTAGCTAGTCAAGCTGATTCAAACTGACATGCACCAATGAACGAAGACAAATTGGTGAATGACATCTTGCTGGCATGGCTTTTCTTCAAGCCGTACTTGATAGCGAGATCTGCCAGGCTTTGCCGATCAGTGGCTGAATCTTTCAGCACAGAGCAAACATCAGCCACATGTTTCTTAAAAGCTGCAGCTTGACCACGAAACTGGCTCTGATGCTTCTTGAGCCATTTTTCAACAACATCAGGGGAGCTGGAACTCGGAACAGAGTTCGGCGGATTCGGGAGTTCCGCATTCAAAATCTGCTCAGCTGACGGTGAAGGTGAAGCGGTGGGCTTTGGGCCAGTTTTGGCCTGCTTCTTCTCTGGAGTAAGAGCAATCCCAGCTTCCTTCAACTTTCGCTTCGCACGAGCAAGCTGTTCACTCTCAGGCGATTGCTGGCTTGAATCCGCCGGAGGAGGCGAATTGGCTTTGATTGTTGAAACAATTTCGCCAAGCAATGGTTGCATAAATCTCGCAGACTCCCTGTGCTTGTCAGGCGGAGCTGGGCCGTGCATATTTGCTGCCACGGCATCAAGATCAATCCGGTCTTGCCGAGTGTGACGAAGCAGGTTAGTCACAAACACTGCTTCTGAAATCGACCTCACGAATACTAAGCTCTGAAATTCTCCATTGGACAAACAGCGGAGACTGAAGTCATCAAGACCTTTTCTCGTCAGGTCTGAGACACGAAGATCGGCGACATCTTTTCCAGCCAGTCCAGCTTTCGTAGACCAGGGCGTGGATTGGATGTTACGAAAGAACTTCTTGCCAGAAATAGCATTCTTGTCGTAACACTCCCAGTCACTGGTAAAAGACGATGGGATGGCAACATTGGTGCTGGGAACAGACTGTTGAGGGGATTTTTGCCAGTCACGGTTGTTCCAACCCGACGATCCTTTCTTCTCCCAAGACGAACTAGCCCAGGACGACTTGGCCCAATCTTGTTCACGGGTCCACGACATGATCGCAAAAGATTGCTACAGGCTTGTGTCTCGGAGCTGAAATCGTGGTCTGCGGATAGAAAAGCCGTTGGTTCCATCGGATCTGCAAAAATTCAGGACCTGCAATGAAACCTGGCATCAAACCTGACATTAAGTCAGGAGCGGAGAAAACATCGCGACTGAAGTAATCAGATGTCTGCACCATCGGAGCAGCAAATTCAGTCGGACCTGTGAGGACCACGACGGGCCCAAAACAATGTATCCCTGCCTTTATCAGATCCACCCTGGCAGGTACTCGCACGGGCTAACCCCGCCGCAGGTAGCGCGGTAAACGAATACAAGACCAGCTTGTAACTACCTGGGACACACTTAGACATCCATCGCGCAGCCACTAATCAATCTGGTTATCAAGCACAGCTTGATGTATCTCGAAAGCATGAAGCTTCCAGGGGGTCCGGTACCTATCTGGCCTCAAGGCTCATCTTCACTTGATCTCTGACTTTTCCACTGTACAAGGCAAAATCTCCCAGACATGCACATGAAACTGCACTGCACTCCTACTCGCAATCAACAGTTGTGTGGTCACAAGCTGCACGAAAGTGCCCATGCCGACCACTGCATGTACGTTTACCTGTCTCAATATCACGGAGCTTCGTTGGCAGAGGCCGTGAAATGAGACCCTCTGCCCCCTGCAATTTTCTGTAATTCAGCACAACTGTCCAACGTGTTTCAAAAACGGTTCCTCTTGGTAACAGAGGTCCACACACACACACACACACACACACACACACCCACCCACCCACCCACCCACCCACCCACCCACCCCCACACACACACACACACACACACTGACACGCATACGCACACACACACACACACACACACCTGAAATGTATATAACTAAACTGATTGCGTAGATGGAGATATTTAGGGTCTACATATGTCCAAGCTCCTGCTCTTGCATCAAAAGTGAGCGCCCGCAAAACGAAGGACGGGGTTGGCATGAAGGACAACCAGCATAAGAAACAGCGGTAGGTGCCTGAGAAGCTGTTGGCCCCATAGTGTCTTCATACAGTCACCATCTTGTAGGGCCGCTCGCCAATTTGTGTGAGTCCAACCTCATCAAATTTGTGTAGCTTGCTGTAGCAATGGTGCCCTCTTGCATCCTGGTAGTGTTCTCAGCTTGTGCCAGCGAAGGTCAGCCAGCCGCTCTGCGTTTTTTGCTGGGGAGTCCACCAGCCTTTTTATGCCAAAACTAAAACATCTGCACTTTCCTTCGCAGACTCTTGAACGAGTGGAAAGTCGGTTTTGGGGGGATATTGAACCAACCTTCAGCTGAGATCCAGACTGGCAGCCCGTCCAGCCGAGAGGAGGGTATACTCGCCCCACATCCCCCCTACGCTGACAGAGAGATGGCAGCAGTTCAGCAGAAAGTTCCAGAGCTTATCGCCAGGAGAGCAATGTGCAGCCGGTCAGATGCCCTGTGACGATATCAGGCCTTGCCTGGGAATGCTACAAACCAATCTTTTCTCGGTTTCTGTTTTTAAGTAGACCTTGTGCGATTGGAAGTTGCGACCGGGTATACCTCAGCACAGCCCGGCCATCAGGTGACATCCATGGCCAGTTCCATGATCTCATGGAGCTCTTCCGTATAGGGGGCCTCCTCCCAGACACAAATTATCTCTTCCTCGGGGACTATGTCGACCGAGGCTATTTCTCGGTAGAGTGCGCGGCTTTGCTCAACATGTTGTGCCGAATACTGCGTTATAACTGAGAAAGAGAAATGATTAGCTCCCAATTGATTGCTTGATTGTAAAAGGATCGCGACATGTCATATTAGATCGTGTGGAGAGAAGCATAAATTGCTAGCGCCTGTCCCCAATCGGTGTGAATGGTGTGACTGTCTCCCGTCACCGCCCAACGCATCCCGGACTTGCGAAGCGAATTTGCTTGAAATGTCCCGAAACCCAAAACGATAAATTCAAAGCCCAACATCCGTATGTTGTCAGTCCTGGTTGCTGGACTTCGTCAATAAGCTCAGATAGAACTTACAAGCCTGGTCTGAGGTGTCCCTTCTGCTGGCCTACAAGGTCCGGTACCGGGAACGGATCACCATTCTTCGGGGCAACCACGCACCTCGCAAGTGAATGGACGGTTTAAGGGCCGTTTTTGCTCGGGGCTGGCATGCAACAACAGTCAGTGAGTCGAAGCTTCTCCGAGCAAGGAGAGTCGCCAGATCACGCAGATTTACGGCTTCTTCGACGAGTGTGCTCGGAAGTATGGCAGCCAAAGTGTGTGGAACCATGGCTGTATAGATCGGCGCATCTGGGTGGTTCTGACATGTTCTGACGATAGCTCAACAAATGCTTCCCTCTTGCCATCTGGTTGCAAACCTAGAACAGTCCCCGCCGACCCGGGATCTTCTTAACCAAAACCGAAGTTGCCATAGTCATAAGAGAAATAAGTCACACTTGTCTCAGCCATGCTGATATCAGTGATGTCGAAGAACGCTTGAAAGGATGCAACTAAGAAGAAAACTTGATTCGTGAGCCTTGCCCTGAGCATTCCCCTCCTGCGGGTCCAAGTAGAAGGGTGCAGGATCTCGGCCTTCACTGAATGTGCAGTGCAGACTGCGAGGAAGATGTTCACAGACTTGTTCGACTATCTGCCCTTGACTGCCCTGGTCGAGAACCGGATCTTCTCACAGCACGGAGGCTCCAAGTTTGACCATCTTGAGACGTACCAGTGCTTCACTAGAAACCAAAGAAAAGTAGCCCTGCCTCCTTCCTGTAGCCCGTAGCATAAAAGTGCTTGTGCAGGCCTCTCACCGAGCATCGAGAAGCTAGACGATGCCCACTGAGCTGCAGTATTTAGATTGTAGAGGCAAGGATCATGGCCGTTGTTTGTCGAGCCTTTGTGTTACATTGCATCATCCTCCGACCCTGATTAATCAAAGAGCGTCCGCACATGCTTCTGAGGGCATCATTGACAAGCATGTTCAGTCTCTGAAAGATTGTCTCATGTTCCTGACATTAAGGTCAGGAAGCTTGATCGGATACAGGAGGTGCCGCACGAGGGCGCCATGTGCGACCTCCTGTGGAGCATCTTGGCTTGTGGAAGCATCGCGCAGCTCCTTCCAGATTCTACACGGACGGAGAACAGACACAAGACTGCCAGTGGTTCATGTGGTAGTTTAGGGTCCCATGCATTCCTGCGGTGCTCAAGTTTTCGATCCGATCCGTTTCTCTGCACAGCGACTCTGAGGTGATCCTGACGATCGTCTGGGCTGGGGCGTGAGTCCTCGAGGCAAGTGGATGTTAGAAGCGCAGACTTCGCTGACGGCTGCTTACTTCGCTTTTGTTCTTGGAGTTCTTAGTTGGACTCCTCCGGAAAGGTGCGGGCTACACCTTCGGGCAGGATGTGTCCGAGAAGTTCAACCAGTCGAACGGCTTCTGGGCACACACACACACACACAAATGGCAGTCGATGAAACTGTTAACCTTTCCTTATGCCTTATGCACTTAGATGCCAGATGTGATGCAAGCATCCAGTCAGGTTTGAACCTCATCGCGAGGGCGCACCAGCTGGTCATGGAAGGGTACAACTGGACCCATGAACCTTGTCTCCAGCCAATTTCTTCGCAGGCCTTGGGGTGTAGGTCTCATTGCTGCCAAAGTTTGCTGTGATAGTGATGACCAAGAACTAGTGACAACTGAAGATGGTGATTGACACTTGTCCCACTCGCGGGTGGCTCTTTCTTTAGGCAGTATGCTTCCCAATTCGTGCCAGCTGATGCAGATCTAGAGTCTTATGATGCGACCTCCCGCAGCAGCTCATGTTGACTACACCGGTCTGGCAGTACAGTGTTTGCCCAGTCTAGGAGCATGCCACGACCTCACCAGTCCTATCTTTTGGTCTAGAAGATTGGTGCGAGCATACAGACCACATGACCATGACCTGCAGTTCAGAGAAGCCAGGTACGCAACATGTGTCAACATGTTATGGCGTTGCGGTCATGGCATCACAGCACACACTCCACAGACGGTAGGTCACAACCAGTGAGGCCCTTGTGATTCGCCCCGGGGCCGCCCAGGAACAGCAAGTTGTCACCATCTTTTCTGCGCCCAACTACTGCTACCGCCACTTGGCCACTTCGCACCTGCCGCGGTCGAGATAATTAGTCTTCAATGTGGGTGAGCCAGGTTCCGGAAACCAGGCCGCCATCATGGAGATTGATGAGCGGCTAGGGTCTCACTTTGTGCAGTTCGATCCCGCGCCTCGTCGGGGTGAAGCAGCCATAGGCAGGCCCCCGGTCGAGTACTTCTTGTGACTGGTGTAGAGACGAGCCTCGATCGGGCAACCTCGGCAGCCGACAGCCTGAGCACCCCGCCAACTTCCACATGAACTGCCCCGACGCCTGAGATTGAAGCCCACACCATCCCTAGACAAGGGAGATAGAGGCTCGGGCATGCTCCGTTGCTAATTCTGCAGAGCTGAAGCCGCTGAAAGCCAGCGTTTCAATTCAGAAGCCACTGGAATCCTGATAGAGTTCTGTACAAGGTGGGCAGTACTTCAGTATACACCGTGGGTTGCCTACAGAGGTCTGCTCGGATTCCCAAGTCGCAAGAGCCGCAAGGATGCCCTTGAAAAGCTGTCCAGCATTCGCTGGGCTGGTTGTGCAATGATTGGTTTGGCATCTGCTTTCTGCTGTTTGTCGCACTGCTTTTGCTGCCAATCGACTGCTCATGCCAGTGGACCCTCGATTGAAACACAGGCGTGATGAAGCTGCCGATGCCTTGGCGCGGTTTCTCAGAGGGCAACTTGAAGCCATAACCACGCCTAACACCGAGAACTTCTGCAGGTAAACACATCTCCACGACGTGTGTATCTTGTTTGCTTTTCTGTTGTTGCCAGGGAAGAAACTTCTCCGGACTTCTACAGAACCTACAGTCTCCTTGGCTTTGCGGCTTTAGCTTTCCACCATGGACCTGGTTCTCATTCGGTACTGCTTCAACTACCGT